CCTCTCCCCTCACCTGAGCTGAAAGGCTCAAAACCTAGTGACTTTGGCACTTTGGACAAGTTACTGATTCCCTCTGGATCTCATTTTTCCTCACAAGGAAAACTGACTTGTATGATCCCTAAGATTCTGGGTTCCATGGTCCGTGCTCATGAAAAACTCTACAAGAACATTGCTTATGACTGCATGTCTTACTATCCTCGTCTGTGGAGAGGCAGACGATGAGACTTTACCCCTCTGGTTCCTGGGTGGTATCTAATCAGATTCTAAAATTTATAGTGCAAAATCCAATGGCACTTTTCATCTGTATCTTGTGAGCTCTATGGCCCTGGCTACTACAGTCTGTCCCATATTCGGTATCTCCTTCACTGAGCACCTGTGCTCCTATCTCTGTTCTTGGGCTCACCCCAGGCCCTGTCTCCTCTTTCTCGTGGCATATTCTCCACAGGAGACATATCCCATGGCTACAAGTGTTTTGCCATTTACAACTAACAAATTTATATTTGAATTCCAGTTGTCTTCCCTCACTCCAGACCCATCTAGTCACCTGCTTAAGAGGTACCCCACCTGAAAGTCCAAAGTAGCCATGATGAGGCCCTTCCCCTGCATCCTGCCCACCTGTCTCTCTGCCTCGGTTCCCACTGACTTTTCTTCTCTGTCTCATTCTTTCTACTCTATCTCTACTTCCACCCTTTCCATTCAGACCCTTGCTTGTTTCTCTTTTCAGTTTCTAGAAACAGTTCTCCCAGGACAGCTATTGCCCATCTCTGACCAAAAGTTCACACTATGGCCAAGTGATATTTATAAAATACAAATGAGGTCAAAGCCACCTCTCCTCTTGTAACTCTCAAATGGCACTCAGGAAAAGTTCCTTAAAAATCTTTTCAATTTCTTCTCTAGTCTTACCATCCTTCTGTCCATCTCTCTACAGCCCTGTCTCGTCTTGAACTAGCTGCAGCATCCCAAACAGTCTGTGTGTTCACCTTTTGGGCTATTTTTTCTGGCACAGTGGCCTCACCTAACCAGATACTTCCTCCTTACCTAGTGGCTCAGGGCAAGAACTCCCGAGGAACAAGGACTTCAGAAGTATTCACTGCCACAGCCCTGTCTCTTCAGTTCTTTGCACAAAATGACAGAGTAGACTAACATTTATAGAATAAATATAATGAAATTGTCATAAAGGCACATTATTAATGTGATAACTACTATGGACACAATTACTGCAGCAATGTGGAAACCTATGGAGACTAGGATCCACTTAAATATTAGCTGTTCTCCTGTACCTGGAGGTCTTGAACTACAATTAGCCCCTATGGGATATGCTGAACTCAAAGACATAGCCAGGACAGCTGTTGATAGTCTCACCTATCCTAGATGCTTAAGGAAAAGCAGAAAAGCTTGATTCCCAACTAAAACTGAAATTATCACAAAAGAAAGCAGCACCAATGAATACAAAGTAATGTATAGTAAGTATAATCATTATGACCAAAGCAAACACATATTGTATGACTCTTGCACCTGTTCAGGCCCTACAAGGCCTTCATCTTTACTGGTATCACCATGTGTCAACTTCTAAACTATTTAATTTCTTAAAGAAATTAGGAGAAAATAGTACTGTGGTTTATAAGGATCTTCCTGGTCACTTTGGAAGTCTATGGAAATATCAGATAAAAACTAGGCCAAGAAAGGTGCTTCTGGTATTAAAAAAACCACATCAAAGTCCACATAGCCGGCATCAGATGACAGTGTAGCAGCGGATTACCCAATGAGAAGGAGCCCCTTGAAATGACAAAAAGCCAGGATTTTTAACATGTTTAAGACAAAAAGGCCTGAACTTATAAAATCAAAGAACAAAAGTAAGGATGGGTGTTGGTTTCTGTTTCCATTTAATTTACTTCTCATCATCTTAGAAACTTTTATAAGGACAGTGGACATGACTTGTTAAGCCGCAGTGTTTGGCAAAGCTGTTCACCAAACATACATTTCTTCTTATCCTCGTCTCTGGGCATACGGGTAACCTACAGTTCTCAGGTTCTCTTGCATTTAAACTAGGCCATATAACTAATCCTCACCAAAAGACTGAGTGGAAGTGATGTAGGCAATGTCCAGATCACAGCATTTTAAAGGTGAGTGCACCATCCCCTACTCTATCTCATCAATCTGTCAACTGAAATAGGTTACAATGGAAAGCTGCAATATGATAGAGTTACTGGACACAGGAGTGGGATCCAGAGTCACTGAACAGGAGAAAGCTACCTACTGACCATTTGGGGCAATAATAAATGGGTATTTTTTTTTAAACAATGTATGTTTTCAGGCCTATTTGTTATAGCTGCTAACATAAGCCCATTTAAAACAGATGCTGGGCATTCCCAACTCACATTTGTTCCTCACTGAATGAAACCACTAAGTACTAATGAAGGAAAAACTTGGTAGGAAATGAGACAAGATTAGGTTCTTTCTCAATGTGCTTCCCAATTGATGGTGGAAGTAGAAAGAAGACAAACATAATGTCTGTTGATGACATTTGAAAACAAAATTGGAGGCATGGTGACTTGTTTGGAGGAGAGAAGATAGAGAAGGCCTCAGAGAAGAGATAACATCTATGCTGGACCAGAAGGGTAAGGAAGACTTCAAGCAAGACAAATGGGCTTGAAGACCCCAGACCCAGGAAAGCAACGGTTCACATTCAAACTTGTCATTAAGTCTCTTTAACTTGGTCAGCACAGTGGGAGTTTATTATGCACTGACTTTCCTTTCTGGGTCTGGTATCTAACAAACAAACCTTTGTTTTTACAGAACATTCATTATTAAACCTATTGCTTCTTTCTTAATGTAAAAAGTTCCATGATGCATGTCCTTAGAAAGTACAGAAGTCACAGTTTATAGAATTGTAACAACTCTTTTCAGAAAAAATGTTTTTAGAATAAACTTGAGACCGTTTGTTACTTATAGCAGTTGAGGAGCCATACTTTTAGAAATCTTAGAAAACTTGGGTCCAACCCAAGTTTTAACATTATGGATTAAGCACATGCCAGTGACTTACCAAACCAAGTCTAAGATTTTCAATAACATTTCTACTTTAAGAGGTACATCCTGTGGTTCCAAGTTCAAAATTCTACATCCCCTCTCCATAGCTAAGTATCGCCAAAATCTAAGAGTTAAACAGTTTCCTCCAAAAGTCTGTGGGTCTCTTCATCTGTAAGCACATTACTCATGGGGCAGGGCTGGAGAGAAACAGAACACAAAGGGTGGAACTACTGTAGTTGCTTTGGTGGTGAAAGGAAGGATGTGGGTATCCGAAGGCTACTTGATGCAGACAAGTACCATCTCCAGTACTCTTCCAAATGCCAACTCAATACTGTTTTACCCACATCCCCAGTTACTTAAATAAAAGGGCAGAAAGAACACCCACTGGGCAGACCACAGTCCATTTCAAAAGACTTCAGCCAAGCAGCCCTTAGACTTTAAAGAAGCCAGTCAGACTGCTTCACTCTTATTCAACAATTTGATTCTAATTCACAGAACAAAATACTTCTGATCCTCCATCAGTTTTTCTATCTCAGGTCTCAGTACCTATCCCCCAAAGGAAAATGGGGGACATGAGGGAGAAGAGGAGGCTGCCTTAAAAGTATAACAACTCCTAAAACGGCTGGAATAATCTCCTCCTTAAATCGAAGAAAAGTGCAGCTGCCAGTCAACACTATTGGTTTGTGAACACAGCAAAATGCTGGCACCTGCCACCCGGGATCTGGGGGGCTTTTCTTTTCCTTTTTTTTTTTGGTAAATGTGGCAGGAAGAACTGAGAGATCAACTGCTTCATCTAAAAGAAAGGGAAGCCCCGGGGAAGAGAAACAAGGAGCATGGTGCCCTGGGTACTTTGTGTGTCTCTTCTCTATGAACTGAAAGAGCTCTTTGTGTCCTCACTATGTATCCTAGGCTGGCCTGGAACTCACTATGAAGCTCACTTTAGCCTCAAACTCTCCATCCTTCTGCATCAGCCTCCCAAATGCTGAGATTACGAGCCTGTGCCACAACACTGGGCTTCTTTTTTCCTCTTTCTGTGTTTCTACTGAAAGAGCTCTTTGTGTCACTCTCTGACACACACACACACACACACACACACACACACACGGCGAGTCTGATTTATTGGAGGGAGGAGGGGTAAAATGGGTGATTTTATTATCCCTTTTCCCAGTGAGTCCCAGCAAAACGCCGCCTGGGCCCAAGCTTGGTGGCCTCTTTCTAGCTCAGTCCCCTCAGCCTGTAGCTGCGGAGATAAGCGAGGGGAGGAGACCAAACAAAACCATCCATCGACCTAGGGAAGTCGGAAGGAAATCCAGAGAGCGGAGAAGGGGGGAGGAAGGAGCCGGAGAGAGCACAAGGGGTGGGGGACAGAGGAAGAGGAGGCCAAGGCTCAGACACAGGGGAAAGGGAAAGGGTAAGGATGGGAGGGAGGGTGGTGGCACAGGAACGGTGAAGGGGAGGGTGGGGGAAGTGCAAGGGAGGTTCCAGAAATAGGCAGGAGGATGCTCTGGGGAAGGCTAGGGCCGCCAAGGGAGGAGGCCGAGAGGTGGAGGAGTGGGGCAGGGGTTGGGTGGGGAGGGAAGCAGCACGGGGCATCAATTATTAAGTGATTACATCATCTCTGACATTAAAACAACACACACAGCCCGGGTCCCCGCGGGGGGCCGCGAAAGGAGGGCGGGGGCGGAGTCTAAGCCAACCTCGCCCCCAAGCCAAATCCTATTTTTCACCCCGTGGCCGAGGAAATGGACCCCCATCCCCTCGCCGCCGGGAGGCCGCACCCGGCAGAAGTGTCAAGCATCGCAGGGATCCCCCGAGCGCTGCTACTTGGCCCCAGCCCCGGGAAGCGCCCCTGAGGCGGCGCGGCGGGACCGCAGCGCTGTGGCCCCGCGCGCAGGCAGCCCGGAGCGGGGGCGCCCGGGCCGGGCGTCTCCGCAGAATCCCCGCAGCCCCGCGGCGCATCCCCAGCCACTTACCTGCGCGGCGCTCAGGCTCCAGAGCCCATTCCATGGTCCTCTCCCCGCCCTCCTCCGGCGCGGTCAAGGCGGCTCCGCGGCGGGGCACCGGAGCCCACGAGCCTCGATGAGCGCCGAGGGGGCGGCGCCGGGGTGTCCCCGGCCCGGTGGCCCGGTCCCTCCCTGGCGCGGGCGGCGGCTTTGTGTGCACCCGGGAGTCCTCGGTGCGCGGGGAGAAGCGCCGCGCTCGGCTCGTGGAGGACGCGCGGCTCCGGGCGGCCTCACCGGTGCTCCGGGAGGGCAGGCGGACGGGTGTCGGCGGCCTCGGCTGGCGGCGACCCCTCCTCCTCTGAGCGGCAGCCCCCTCCCCGCCGGCTCGGCTCCTGACAGATGGCGCAACTGCAACAACGCGCCGCCACCGCGGCTGCTCGCAGCTACTCTCGCTGATGCTCTGGCAGCTCCAGCTCCAGAGGGGTGAGAGAGGAGGCGGGACGCGCCCCGAGAGTGGCAGGTCGCGCTGCCCTATCAAAGCACCCCCTGGGAGCTGAAGGCCGCAGCCATTGGTGAGCGCGGCGGGGGCGGGACGGCCGTGGGTGGGGCCGCCGAGTGGGTTGAGCGTTACTGTGGCAGCGGGTATCCTGGCGAGCATGCGGCGCTGGGCGTGCTAGAGGATGAGGTTGGAGGAGGAGGTGTGTGTATCTGAGGATCGTGGGGAGTTGGGAGTTGGTGGGGTGGGTTGGGGCAGGAGAAAGCGGGGAGAGTGTGAGCTGCTTTCTACTTTGCTAGTGGAGATTGGCACCTGTCATTCCTGTCTAACAGCCATGGGAACCTCCTTCGAGAACAACGCTGCCTAGCCTTTGCATTTGAGAGTGGGAAGATAAAATGGAGAGGTGTTAGGGTGCTGATAGCAAACTAAAGAAAAAGTGCCGAACGAAGTAGAATCCCATTACAGAAACAGAAAAAGCTAACGAGAACGTGCGAACGCGCGCCGAATAGCAAGAAGAAATTAATATTTATTAGTCTCATACTTTCATGGACCCATATATATTTCTTTTCGAGCAATAGATAGGAGGAAGGACCGCTAAAATGAAAGAAGCAAGCAACCAAGAAATCCAAAAACACAGAGTAGAGATTTCTTTGTACACATCCTCTAAATCGTGCTTAATTGTAGTCATTGGTTGTCTTTGGCGTCTTAGGGCATTCAAACTTCTCTTGTTTTTGTTTTTTCTCTCTTCGCTGAGTTGAGATATTGCTCAGATTTTCCTTGATGAAATAACAGCCGGCTTGGAATGCAGTTGGGAAAGCATCAGTCTTTATTTCCTATCCAGCTTTTCTATGGCAGGATGTAACTTCATGAAAAGAAACACTTCGCCTTCCTGATTTTCTTTATAGGTAATTCCTGTTTACTGAAAGTTCTGTTTTAAGACATGCTCAGAATCATTTTCCTTAATGATTTTGGGAAGAAACTTACCCCTCCCCCTCAGAAATCTGCTCTTCAGTAATGAATATAAATGAATCTGCTTTAGCATCTAAGCACAAGGTCTAGAATCTTTCCTCCTTATTACTTTTTTTTTTTTTACTCTAGTTTAAAAATACCAGTTACCCTTTCTGACTTTTTTCTCTTTTCCTTGGTGCTTTTTTTGAGAAAGTTGCCACTGTTTATTAAATAATCCCCATGTTATGGTGAGGAAACAGAGAAAAGGATGACACTCAGGATGTAGACTGCCTTGGAAGATGGCACTCAGGATATAGACTGCCATATTCAGTCTCTTCCTGAAATCTGGAGCAGGTGGGATAAATCACCTCTTTGTTTATAGTTTCTTCTGGAGGAGTCTCTTTTTGGCATCAACAGTTCTAATAGCTGCTTAATCTAATTAGTGGTCAAAAGAAAGAGAGTATGATTAAAATGACAAGTGAACCAGGTCCCACCAAAACTCCACTGTGTTGTAATCCTCCTCTTACCTTGCTTTTCCCATCTCATCTCAAGGGTAGCTTTAAGTGGACTGAGCTTCCACAGGAGGGCTTGCCAATGGTATGAACAAATGAATAAGCCCTAAAAAGATCAAGACACTATTTCACATTTTGTTCTGCATTGCAGATCTCCACAGTAAACTTGACTTATAGATCCAAGATGCTGCCCCTGGCCTGTCCAAAGAACGGCATACTTTCTTCTACATCCCAGTTTTTAAAAAATTATTTATCTAATAAACACATAATTAGAAGAAGCATTTCATTACAGTAGCATCGATATAGTCAATAAAAATTTCCAGAGCTAAAATGCATCTCTTTCAAAATTGGCTCTAAATTTTTAGGTTTATGGTTGAATTAATACAGTTATACAATATTGTACTTAGTATAAATCCTATAAGAAAAAATTGAATGAGGTTTTAACCTTTAAAAAAGACCTCCATTTCATTATTAAAATACACTGTTTCATACAGAAAAACTCATTTTTAATGCAACTAACACTTAGATGTTTGCACAGGCGTCACTAATCTCCATGTATCTGATTATTACTAGTCACAGTCAGTTACTTTCTGAGAGCCTTGGCACCTGAGCATGGATATAAAGTCATCAGGTAGATTTCAATGACAATGTTTTCACATCTACTAATTAACATGAAACAAATTTTTATGCTTCCTCAAATATAACTCATTTTTTATTTATTGATTTTGTATATGTGTATATTTCATACAGAACATCCCAAACAATCTTATTCATCTATATACCCACATCCCAAGTGACACCCTTCCATGCCACCCCCCACCCTGCACTGGAGCCCATATACTCTGTCATCCCTGTTACTGTCCACTGTTGTCAGTGCCCCCAGCCGTTCCCCAGTGCTTATCCATCGGCTTAGGCTAGTCAGCCTATCTATAGCTCCTTGTTTTAGTAAGATCAGCTCTTCCTCATCTAGCAGCAAGCTGTTGCCAAGATTCCTTTAGATAAGATTGGAGTCTGCTGTTCATTTTCCCAGTTCTATGCTGGGTTAGTGTCTGGGAATCTCAGGCTACCCTGACCAACAACTCAAAGGAAGGTATCTCCTGTCTGGCATTGTTTCTTGTTATGTAGCCTTTAGCTATATGCATAGACTCTTAAGAAATTATATTGACCCCTTTGATCTTTGGTTATACTTTCCTTTTGGATGTTTAAGACCATGCAGTTGGCCCAGATAAACCAATTTATTTTTGCTCCTAAGGCCATTTGAGGAGTCATTCTTTGGGGTCACATGGGTTTAGGAGGAGCCCCTAGCTCCTTTCCTCTACCAGTTCCATCTATGTGAAGATAAGTCAAAGGTCCTACTTGACCATGGCTGGCTTCACTTGGAAGCATGGAGGAAATGTTTCTTCTGTGTTGACCCTCCTCTTTGTAGACTGGACACTGGTTCAAGTCCATCTGGTGGGGTCTCCATGGATTCCTTGATCAAGAGGACAGGTGACTCACCACAGTTACAGGACATTTTGAGAGATGCTCCATAGTCCTCTGGAACTTAGTCGACCTTAGAGGGCAAGGAACAAAAACTGTCCTTTAAGTTCCTCTGACCAAATTAGTATAGACCTCAAAGTATGGCTGTTAAACATCCAAGAAGGTTAGTTCCACCAGTCTCGTACTTATAATTACCATGTGCTGTGTAGTTAAAGCTTAGGCAAAGACCAAAGGTTCTCAGATAAACCTTGACTAGACATATATTATGTTCCTTGAGCTAGTTGTATATATAATTTGTCAGTAGGTTGTTCGATTAATATCATTCCCTCTGTTAATTCTCTGTCTTATTTACCTACCTAA